GTGAAGCACGGGGGTGGCAGCATCATGCTGTGGGGGTGCTTTGCTGCAGGAGGGACTGGTGTACTTCACAAAATAGATGGCATCATGAGGAAGGAAAATTATGTGGATATATTGAAGCAACATCTCAAGACATCAGTCAGGAAGTTAAAGCTTGGTCGCAAATGGGTCTTCCAAATGGACAATGACCCCAAGCATACTTCCAAAGTTGTGGCAAAATCGCTTTAGGACAACAAAGTCAAGGTATTGGAATTGCCATCACAAAGCCCTGACCTCAATCCTATAGAACATTTGTGGGCAGAACTGAAAAAGCGTGTGCGAGCAAGGAGGCCTACAAACCTGACTCAGTTATACCAGCTCTGTCAGGAGGAATGGGCCAAAATTCACCCAACTTATTGTGGGAAGCTTGTGGAAGGCTACCCAAAACGTTTGACCCAAGTTAAACAATTTAAAGGCAATGCTACCAAATACTAATTGAGTGTATGTAAACTTCTGACCCACTTGGAATGTGATGAATGAAGTAAAAGCTTAAATAAATCACTCTCTACTATTATTCTGACATTTCACATTCTTAAAATAAAGTGGTGATCCTAACTGACCTAAGACAGGGAATTTTTACTAGGATTAAATGTCAGGAATTGTGAAAAACTGAGTTTAAATGTATTTGGCTAAGGTGTAAACTTCCGACTTCAACTGTATATCTTCAACGATAATATTGTGATACTTTACTTTATCAACTGTTACCCCATCACTAATTGATATGATTAAAAAATATATATATATAATAATAATTGGTACAAGGCCAGCATAGATGTATTCTAGAAACAGTGTCCTATCCTGTGCCCCTTTTGCAGTGCACAAAAACATACATCACTAGCACTGCATATGTCCAGGTTTCATATTATTTTGCTAATATTTAAGGTAGTATCCTACAGAAAAAGCTCTGCCTCCATGCTGAACTGAATCCTTGCCACGTGTGTTGGCTTTATAATATAATTACAACAGAGAGAAATTAATCTCAAGTGTGATAGGCCGATTTGGTAGTGGTAGCAGGAATCATTTGTTGTCATCTCCATTCGCCATTGGCTAATTACACACGGAAATAGCTTCGTCCTTTGCCACTACAATAGAAAAGTAGGCTATAAACATGGCAAGATGAGTCATGCAAATTTATACTCCCGGGCAAATTCTATCCACATCATGCAAGCATATTTATAGGTGTAGGGCCAATACCAACACAAACCAGGAAGCAAATGCAGTACCAGCAACCTTCTAATAATTAACTGACTATGCCTGAGAGACAGGACATTTCTCTGTATTAACTTCAAGGGTTGTTTCCCATTAAAGGTTCAGTGTACATGTAGATAGACTAGATGTTTTAAATTGCATTGATTTCATCTGCAAGGCTGGCACAACATTTGAGATACTGTACTACGAATATACAAAATGGACTGCTTCAGGATTATTGTTGAATTTCTGTAACAAGGCTATTTAGTTCCGTTTTGTTATTTTATCTCAGTTATTATCATGTTATTATTATCACATAGTTAACCAATACACGGAGGCAGACACCTTTCTGTCACGTACTCTGGTCTGAAAGATATCCTCCTGGTCTAACCACCACAGCTGGTAATGACAACTTTGCTTTGAGGACATGTTGGGCAAAGAGTAAAGTCAAGAATGTGTGTGGTATTCTCAGCATGCAGCACACTCTACGTCAAATTTGCAACACTGGCCACCCCTAAGTTTACAGGGGCAAATTGATCATGTAGGCATAATTACAGCAGAAAAATTGGCTAAAAGTCTTAAGAACTATCAACCTATAAAGTACACTGAACAAAAATATAAACGCAACATGTAAAGTGTTGGTCCAATGTTTCATGAGCTGAAATAAAATATGTACTGAAGAGTATTTTCCCCTTTTGTGGGGAAAAACTCCTTCTGAGTGGGTGGGCCTGGCTGCCCATTGGGTTGGCCTATGCCTTCCCAGGCCCACCCACGGCTGCACCCCTAACCAGTCATGTGAAATCCATAGAATAGGGCCTAATCAATTTACTGATTTCCTTATATGAACTGTAACTCAGTAAAATCTTTGTTGCGTTTATATTTTTGTTCAGTATAGATATAGGACGCGATTAGATCCCCTGTAGCTCAGTTGGTAGAGCATGGCGCTTGCAACGCGAGGGTTGTGGGTTCGTTTCCCACGGGGGGGGCAGTATGAAAATGTATGCACTCACTAACTGTAAGTCGCTCTGGTTAAGATCGTCTGCTAAATTGACTAAAATGTAAATGTGAATTAAATGTCTAGTGTTACACGAGGATGAACTAACGTTAGCGCTACACAGCATAACACCTCTGCAAAATCTGACTTTCGGAGAGGCCTATGGCCAAATGTATATATTGGTGTACAGGATTGTAGTGAGCAATCTAAAAAACAACAACTACAATCGCTAATCAACAGAATTAATATAGTTTTTGAGGCGGACTCAACATGGAGCCCAACACAAACAAGTACAACGTCAAACTAACTTACTACTATCGGGCCAACACCCACGTAATCCTACAGCCCTATTGGTCAAAACGCAGTTATAGCCCGCCTCCAGATAGGCACGAATGGTCGGCTTTGCTGTCAATCTCAGGAGATTTCACAGTAGGTTGAGACAGAAAACAACAAACAATTTAAAGGCTTGTTTTTGTGGCCTAAATAGCTAACTAAATACATGCAAAATTACCCCTTGACAGGCCGAATTCGCAAAGGAGATCATTTTACTGAGGTGTACGTAATCCTCTTAACATAACTTATTGAGAAAACACGCATATATAGTCAATATTATAAACACTCGACGTGGATCTCGGTGACACTGAACAAAAGTAAGCATTGAAAACCGTCCCGACTAGCTGACGCCCATTCCCCGAAATGACCATTTGTCAACAAACTCGGTCAAATGTTGTCTTTATACTCTGCTCAGTTTACCTAGAATGTTCTAGATCTTTTTCTCGAGCTCTGTATCAGCATGGTGGGGGTGGGGGGCGTGTACCCTGAGAGGATGTTGACGTGTGTAGATTTTAGTTGACCCAAAAATAATTAATGGTGTAATATCTGGTTTCAACACCCACATGATCAAAAAGATCACAAAATGTTAATCTTAAAAACAATAATTTCGTAAAAAATAAAAAATAAAGCTATTGAAACGAGTTACAATGTGCCTGCACATATCTACAGTAGTCTTGATAAAACAAAAAAAGGTTTGTCAAATAGGTAAGCCGTTTTAGTTCAGTAGGATTTAACGCGAAAATAGCTCAATCTTGTTCCCTACCAACCAGCTACATTATGGCCTCCGTCCCGCCCCTCTCACGGCAGCACGATACAACTAGCTCACCAAGAGGTAACAAGCATACGAATAAACATTATCCACAAAGTTTGGCAAATGGTTTTAAAATCGTTCAACTCACCTTTAGAAACCCCATATGAAAGTTTTGTGTCGTGTTTCGCTTCGTGTTTATTCCTATCTGAGCAATAACAAAGCCATTTCAATGGAGTCCACGCTACCTTTCTCTTGCGTTTGTTTTGTTTTTCTTCTTCCTGACAGGTTCCTGGAAAGCGCGTGACTACCTAGTCACGTGGTCCTTCACGGACCAATCGCAGTGAAGCTTTAGGATTGACCCAAAACTTTGCAAGTAAATTACGGTATCCTACAGCAACATTGCACACACTTCAGATGCTATAATACGGTTATCCAGACATTTATATTATATGGAAGTAATATAAATACTTCAATAATGACAATTATATTTTTCCAAAGGCCCTAGGTTACAATTAATTGGTGCAAGCATGAAACTCAAGTCCTTAGAGTTTACAAATAAAATACTGTACATTATAAATACCATCTTTGAATAGATCTGCCATAATACTATATGTTATGTACTGTGATTTGACATTGTTACTATGTTGGGAAAAATCAGTCATGATAAGATAAACATGGAACATACAGACTAGGTTAACTCATTTAGTTGTCATTACTGCCTGTACAGGACTTGCTTGGACACATTTTGTCCCCAAAAATGTACAGTACAAAAACAAAATTACGAATTTTGAGGCATCTACAAATATTCATTGTAACAGACAAGTTGGTAAGATGAATAGACAACACAACATGAGTTTCGAGAAACACTTAAAGCTGATAGGATGAGCAAGGTCATGTGCATTCAATCATGGCTGAAAATCCTATACCCAAAATACTTAGTAACTGTGTGGTTAATAAAATAAATATAAACTAAGCCAAGGATTCCATTGGTGGGAGGGTCTGAGCTCAGGGCCTTGTGGGACAGTCTGGAGGACTTAGATCTGCCTGCGCTCCCGGGCCACATGCCAGACTCTCTCTCTCTCTCTCGCTCTCTCTCTGCAGTAAGAAATAAAACAATCACTTCCACTCAATGACATTTTACATTTGAGTCATTTAGCAGACACTCTTATCCAGAGCGACTTAGTGCATACATTATTTTTTTTATTTTTCATACTGGCCCCCCGTGGGAATCGAACCCACAACCCTGGTGTTGCAAACGCCATGCTCTACCAACTGAGCTACATCCCTGCCGGCCATTCCCTCCCCTACCCTGGGCCAATTGTGCACCACCCCATGGGTCTCCCGGTCACGGCCGGCTACGACAGAGCCTGGATTCGAACCAGGATCGGGAGTGGCTCTAGTGGCACAGCGATGTGCCTTAGACCACTGCGCCACTCGGGAGATATACGCTTTGTGTATCTCAACCACTCATTTTCAGATTCCTACACAGATATAGCTTCACTAGATGCTGCTAAGTGTTTTACAGGCTAGCATGACTTCCATCTTGCAAGCTATTGCAGTATGTTTATTACCATTATCTTAGGTAAACCAAGAGTCAGATATAATGTTCAAAAAAGCTAAATGGACAGGTTTATGATAACTTTGTCCTTGGTCCTCCTAGGCCTTTCTCAGTAATTGAGGGCAGAGTCGTGGGCAGAGTCAGCGCCAGTGGAATTGCAGATACCAAATAGTGTCATTACTCAAAGCAGGTCCAAACAGTGGATTCAGCTGGGAGAGAATGACTATCAACCAGCTGTGGAAGAACAGGGACAAGAAAAACACATTATGATGGCCTTACGAGTCCATTCAATTTGCATATTCATTTTTTATTTATATTTTTTCTTTCACCTTTATTTAACCAGGTAAGCCAGTTGAGAACAAGTTCTCATTTACAACTGCGACCTGGCCAAGATAAAGCAAAGCAGTGAGATAAAAACAACAACACAGAGTTACATATGGGGTAAACAAAACATAAAGTCAAAAATACAACAGAAAATATATATACAGTGTGTGCAAATGTAGCATGTTATGGAGGTAAGGCAATAAATAGGCCATAGTGCAAAATAATTACAATTTAGTATTAACACTGGAATGATAGATGTGCAAGAGATGATGTGCAAATAGAGGTACTGGGGTGCAAATGAGCAAAATAGATAACAATATGGGGATGAGGTACTTGGGTGGGCTAATTTCAGATGGGCTGTGTACAGGTGGAAGCCGATTCTAGATTTAACTTTGGATTGGAGATGCTTAATGTGAGTCTGGAGGAGAGTTTACAGTCTAACCAGACACCTAGGTATTTGTAGTTGTCCACATACTCTAGGTCAGACCCGCCGAGAGTAGTGATTCTAGTCGGGTGGGCGGGTGCCAGCAGCGTTCGATTGAAGAGCATGCATTTAGTTTTACTAGTGTTTAAGAGCAGTTGGAGGCTACGGAAGGAGTGTTGTATGGCATTGAAACTCGTTTGGAGGTTTGTTAACACAGTGTCCAATGAAGGGCCAGATGTATACAAAATGGTGTCGTCTGCGTAGAGGTGGATCTGAGAGGTCAACATTCACAAGGCCGCAGGGCCAGACGGATTACCAGGACGTGTACTCCGAGCATGTGCTGACCAACTGGCAAGTGTCTTCACTGACATTTTCAACATGTCCCTGACTGAGTCTGTAATACCAACATGTTTCAAGCAGACCACCATAGTCCCCGTGCCCAAGAACTCTAAGATAACCTGCCTAAATGACTACCGACCCGTAGCACTGACGTCTGTAGCCATGAAGTGCTTTGAAAGACTGGTCATGGCTCACATCAACAGCATAATCCCAGAAACCCTAGACCCACTCCAATTTGCATACCGCCCCAACAGATCCACAGATGATGCAATCTCTATCGCACTCCACACTGCCCTTTCCCACCTGGACAAGAGGAACACCTACGTGAGAATGCTATTCATTGACTACAGCTCAGCATTCAACACCATAGTGCCCTCTAAGCTCATCACTAAGCTAAGGATCCTGGGACTAAACACCTCCCTCTGCAACTGGATCCTGGACTTCCTGACGGGCCGCCCCCAGGTGGTAAGGGTAGGTAACAACACATCTGCCACACTGATCCTCAACACGGGGGCCCCTCAGGGGTGCGTGCTCAGTCCCCTCCTGTACTCTCTGTTCACCCATGACTGCATGGCCAGGCACGACTCCAACACCATCATTAAGTTTGCCGACGACACAACAGTGGTAGGCCTGATCACCGACAACGATGAGACAGCCTATAGGGAGGAGGTCAGAGATCTGGCCGTGTGGTGCCAGGACAACAACCTCTCCCTCAACGTGACCAAGACAAAGGAGATGATTGTGGACTACAGGAAAAAAAAGAGGACTGAGCACGCCCCCATTCTCATCGACGGGGCTGTAGTGGAACAGGTTGAGAGCTTCAAGTTCCTTGGTGTCCACATCACCAACGAACTATCATGGTCCAAACACACCAAGACAGTCGTGAAGAGGGCACGACAAAGCCTATTCCCCCTCAGGAGACTAAAAAGATTTGGCATGGGTCCTCAGATCCTCAAAAAATTCTACAGCTGCACCATCGAGAGCATCCTGACTGGTTGCATCACCGCCTGGTATGGCAACTGCTTGGCCTCTGACCGCAAGGCACTACAGAGGGTAGTGCGTACGGCCCAGTACATCACTGGGGCAAAGCTCCCTGCCATCCAGGACCTCTATACCAGGCGGTGTCAGAGGAAGGCCCTCAAAATTGTCAAAGACTCCAGCCACCCTAGTCATAGACTGTTCTCTCTGCTACCGCACGGCAAGCGGTACCGGAGTGCCAAGTCTAGGTCCAAAAGACTTCTCAACAGCTTCTACCCCCAAGCCATAAGACTCCTGAACAGCTAATCATGGCTACCCGGACTATTTGCACTGCCCCCCCACCCCATCCTTTTTACGCTGCTGCTACTCTGTTAAGTATTTATGCATAGTCACTTTAACTCTACCCACATGTACATATTACCTCAACTACCTCAACTAGCCGGTGCCCCCGCACATTGACTCTGCAACGGTACCCCCCTGTATATATAGCCTCCCTACTGTCACTTTATTTTACTGTATATATAGCCTCCCTACTGTCACTTTATTTTACTTCTGCTCTTTTTTTCTCAACACTTTTTTGTTGTTGTTGTTTTATTCTTACTTTTTTTGTTTAAAATAAATGCACTGTTGGTTAAGGGCTGTAAGTAAGCATTTCACTGCAATGTCTGCACCTGTTGTATTCGGCGCATGTGACCAATACAATTTGATTTGATTTGATTTGATTTGATTTGAGAGTCACCAGCAGCAAGAGCGACATCATTGATATACACAGAGAAAAGAGTCGGCCCGAGAATTGAACCCTGTGGCATCCCCATAGAGACTGCCATAGGTCCAGACAACAGGACCTCCGATTTGACACATTGAACTGAGGTGCACCCATGACCAGCTCAGAAACCGGATTGCATAGCGGAGAAGGTACGGTGGGATTGGAAATGGTCGGTGATCTGTTTGTTAACTTGGCTTTCAAAAACTTTCGAAAGGCAGGGCAGGATGGATATAGGTCTGTAACAGTTTGGATCTAGAGTGTCACCCCCTTTGAAGATGGGGATGACCATGGCAGCTTTCCAATCTCTGGGGATCTCAGACGTTACGAAAGAGAGGTTGAACAGGCTAGTAATAGGGGTTGCGACAATTTCGGCTGCTAATTTGAGAAAGAAAGGGTCCAGATTGTCTAGCCCATATGATTTGTAGGGGTCCAGATTTTGCAGCCCTTTCAGAACATCAGCTGTCTGAATTTGTGTGAAGGAGAAGTGGGGGGGGGGGGGGGGGGGGGGGGGGCATTGGCAAGTTGCAGCGGAGGGTGCAGAGCTGGTTGCCGGGGTAGTGGTAGCCAGGTGGAAAGCATGGCCAGCCGTAGCAAAATGCTTGTTGAAATTCTCGATTATTGTAGATTTATCGGTGGTGATAGTGTTTCCCAGCCTCAGTGCAGTGGGCAGCTGGGAGGAGGTGCTCTTATTCTCCATGGACTTTACAGTGTCCCAAAACTTTTTGGAGTTAGTGCTACAGGATGCACATTTCTGTTTGAAAAAGCTAGCCTTTGCTTTCCTAACTGCTTGTGTATATTGGTTCCTAACTTCCCTGAAAAGTTGCATATCGCGGGGGCTATTCGATGCTAATGCAGTACGCCACAGGATGTTTTTGTGCTGGTCAAGGGCAGTCAAGTCTGAGGAGAACCAGGGGCTATATCTGTTCTTAGTTCTGAATTTTTTGAATGGGGCATGCTTATTTAAGATTGAGAGGAAAGCACTTTTAAAGAACAACCAGGCATCCTCTACTGACGGAATGAGATCGATATCCATCCAGGATACCTGGGCCAGGTCAATTAGGAAGGCCTGCTCGCTAATGTGTTTTAGGGAGCGTTTGACAGTGATGAGGGGTGGTCGTTTGACCGCGGAGCCGTTACGGACGCTGGCAATAAGGCAGTGATCGCTGAGATCCTGGTTGAAGACAGCGTAGGTGTATTTAGAGGGTAAATTAGTCAGGATGATATCTATGAGGGTGCCCATGTTTACGGATTTAGGGTTGTACCTGGTAGGTTCGTTGATAATTTGTGTGAGATTGAGGGCATCTAGTTTGGATTGTAGGATGGCCGGGGTGTTAAGCATATCCCAGTTTAGGTCACCAAGCAGTACGAACTCTGAGGATAGATGGGGGGCAATCAATTCACATATGGTGTCCAGGGTACAGCTGGGGGCTGAGGGGGGTCTGTAGCAAGCGGCAACAGTGAGAGACTTATTTCTGGAAAGGTCGATTTTTAGAAGTAGGAGCTCAAACTGTTTGGGCACAGACCTGGATAGTATGATAGAGCTCTGCAGGCTATCTCTACAGTAGATTGCAACTCCACCCCCTTTGGCAGTTCTATCTAGACTGAAAATGTTGTAGTTGGGGATGGACATTTCTGAATTTTTGGTGGCCTTCCTAAGCCAGGATTCAGACACTGCTAGAACATCAGGGTTGGCGGAGTGTGCTAACGCAGTGAATAACTCAAACTTAGGGAGGAGGCTTCTGATGTTAACATGCAAAAAACCAAGGCTTTTACGGTTACAGAAGTCACCAGATAGCGCCTGGGGAGATGGAGTGATACTGGGGGCTGCAGGGCCTGGGTTAACCTCTACATCACCAGAGGAACAGAGGAGGACTAGAATAAGGATATGGCTAAAGGCTTTAAGAACTGGTCTTCTAGTGTGTTGGGTACAGAGAATTAAAGGGGCAGATTTCTGGGCATTGTAGAATAGATTCAGGACATTATGTACAGACAAGGATATGGAAGGATATGAGTACAGTGGAGGTAAACCTAAGCGTTGGGTAACAATGAAAGAGATAGCATCACTGGAGGCACCGATTGAGCCAGTCTCTGCGTGTATGGGGGGTGGAACAAAGGAGCTATTTGAGGCAGTTTGAGAGGGATTAGGGGCTCTACAGTGAAATTGTATAATAAGAACTAACTGGAACAGCAATAGGTAAGGCATATTGACATGGGAAAGAGGCATAAAGCAATCACAGGTGTTATTCGAGAGAGCTAAGACAACAACTGGTAATGGCGATGAATGTTTGGGCTGAGGCTAAACAGATAAACAGGACAGGGTACCATGTAAAAGGAACAGTCCAGCAGGCATCAGCTGTGCAGCTGAGTGATCATAAGGTCCAGTGAACAGCAATAGTCCAGGCTAGAGCTGGCTGGTAGGTAGTGCAGGCCACGTACAATGGTGAAAAACCGCTAACGGTGGCTAATAGCAAGTAGCTAGTTAGCTGGCTACTCCCGTCCGGTAGACAGAGAGGTAGATAGCCGGGATATGGGCCTGGCTCGAGGCTAGCTTAAGGCTAACTGGTGCTTGCTTCAGGGGCAGTGGTGATTAGCCAACAGCAACATCCATTCGGTTGCGGCTAGCTAGTTGTGATCCGGTGTTAAGGTCCAGTGATTCAGTTATTCCGGCAGAAAATCAGATGTCCTGGGTGAAAACCGCTAACGGTGGCTAATAGCAAGTAGCTAGTTAGCTGGCTACTCCCGTCCGGTAGACAGAGAGGTAGATAGCCGGGATATGGGCCTGGCTCGAGGCTAGCTCAAGGCTAACTGGTGCTTGCTTCAGGGGCAGTGGTGATTAGCCAACAGCAACATCCCATTCGGTTGCGGCTAGCTAGTTGTGATCCGGTGTTAAGGTCCAGTGATTCAGTTATTCCGGCCGAAAATCCGTTGTCCTGGGTGAAAACCGCTAACGGTGGCTAATAGCAAGTAGCTAGTTAGCTGGCTAGCTAGTTTCAACTGGAGATTCTAGATAAAAGGTCAGTAAATAATAGAATCCGTTCCACATTGAGTGAGGCGGGTTGCAGGAAAGTATATTTAGTAGAAGGATGAAAAGTGTCTGATAGGGAAATATATACGAAAAAGACAACAACAACAAAAAACAGGCTATTTACACGGACACGCTACAGCAGTGTTCTTCAATTCCAGTCCTGGCCGAAACACTTCTGTTTTTTTTATTTCTACCTGGTAGTTAATTGCACTCACCTGGTGTCCCAGGTCTGAATTAGCCCCTGATTAGAAGGAGAGGATGAAAAACAGAGGTGTTTCGGCCCTCCAGGACCAGAATTGAAGAACCCTGCACTACAGAGTACACGACCGCACTGCTACGCCATCTTGGACCATCATTATGCACTCTCCTCATCTGCTTAGAGCACTCTTATCCTCTTTGTGTTGAATTCATCTTTAATTTGACCAAAGCTAGAATGTGGATCGTTTTTAGATCCAATGTTCTAAAAAAGCAATGATGCAACATACTATAACAGTATGTACTGTGGAGTGATCAATGAAATACAGTTTAATGAGAACAAAGAAGGAGTTGTTCAGCAAACCTCTCTCCATCATGAATTCCCAAAATGTTAATGAAGAGACAATGCACTGTGCTTGTTTTGTACATTTGCTTTCAATGTTGTGGCCAGCTACTGTCGTCAGCTGGTTCAATAACACAAAGGCTCAGTAACACACAGACATAGGCTGCTCCACAAGCTCAATATTTATCAAAGAGTTGCTATGTAAATAGATGCAGCAGACAATCCAAATAACTGTTTGCTGTTTGTTTTGACTGTTTCCTGGATCCACCTGCATGGATCTGACTGTGCTATAATCAGGCCAGTTGTTATATTTGGCAGGGGTGAGAGAGAGCAACTAATAGCCCACTCTCTGGTATTTGTTCTGAAGCACAGACCCCTTTACCTTATCCATTAAACACTGATAACTGACAAGAGTGGTTTCATTAGGCAACATGGTTTGAAGGGAGAATCTGCTTTGGGTTCTGCTTCTTTTTTTTCTTTCTTTTAAATTCATGATATATTGCCATTGATTCTTGAAGAATATAACTTATAAATGCCTCATGAGCTTAGTTCAACTTTCTAACCCAGAACCCAAAATATAAGCTTGTTTTCCTCTGTTGTTTGTAAACAATGTAATTGTAAACAAACACTATATAGTCTCAAAACATGATTCAAACCATACTTTTGATATCATGGATGGTCAGCCAGGGCATCATAGCTATGTCTATTAATTTGAGAGTGGTTACATTTCTCCAGCCCTATCCCTCAGCTGACCCCTTTGTAAATTGTTTGAACTGCAGATTGCCCCTTTAAGTGGTGCTATCTGTAAAATGTGAATACAGGCCAAACAGACAAAGTGAACAGAATATTCATAAATACTGCCTTGTTGTGCAAGTTGAACAGACCCCCAATTAACGACAGTGGATTTGGAACCAAGACATGGCTTATTGAACTCCTTGCAACTTCTCGCAGTTTTTCAGGGTAAAGTTCACCAGTTTGATCCTCGTGTGAATCACACTGTTTTCTCACACACTTGAAATACAAAAGGCTATTATGTTTCTTTCACATTCTTGGCAGAGCTATGGGTACCAATGAATTCACACGATGTCTGGTATTTACAGCCCCCTACCGGTGGAACAATATAGCACTTATGCTTGCCTGTCACTAGGTTTTTATGTATATATTTTTAATATGTTTTACTTTTTACCCCAATTTCGTGATATCCAATTGGTAGTTACAGTCTTGTCCCATCACTGCAACTCCCGTACGGACTGGGGAGAGGCGAAGGTCGAGAGCCATGCGTTCTCCGAAACACGACCCTACCAACCCGCACTGCTTCTTGACCCACTGCTCGCTTAACCCGGAAGCCAGCCGCACCAATGTGTCGCAATGGCTAGCTCAGTGGTCACTAGCCTGGCTGACGGGCGACCCACGTGACTACGTAGAGAGCGCAAAACCTCTATACGTGATACTTACAACAAGTAGCAGCAAACTGCAGTCAATACTATCATGGTAATGATGACCCTGTGAGAAGCAGATATGGCCATTCAGACAGTAATGCAATTGAATAAACATGTTATTTTTCTAAAGATTAAAGCCACACCATCAAAGAGTGGGCCACAACAAAAACGTAATTTGCTTATACATTTCATGAACTTTTTGTGATATAATATCGATATTATACAATAGAATCCGACAGTCAAGATTATTTTTCATTCTCATCTCTTTCACATTTCCTCCTGCACAGTAGAAAATGAATTCTGCCCCGCTCTACTAAATGCTCACCTTCTGTTTGGTCCCTTCGGAATAAACCATGGTATCACCCCTCCAACAAATCCCCAAAACAGTGTAAATATAACCATAGGAATGGCAAAAGCCATGTTGCGTCTTATGATGTGTTTGTTGATTTAAGAATGTTGTTTTAAAACCCGTTTACTGTCTAATGCCTACTACATTAGACTCAATTCACGAGAAGTCCATGAGAACCACAGAATTGTAGTAGCACATCGGGAAGTCAGGTCACATGATGAAGTGCCTACGTCAAGAATCGTGATGCGTAATGTAGCCTATTGTTGCTACATTGTAGAAGTGCGTATCAAAATGAATGCAGTAAGAAGTATTACGTTTGTCATTAGATATATCAATGTAAAAAAAAAAATCACACTATGCAGCAGAAATGCAACTGTGTAACAACTATGTAACAGACTTCAAGCATTGATGACTGTAGCAGCAAAAGGTGCTTCCAGAGACAAGTGTTTAAACTGTCTGGCACACAGAGCATGGTCCTTGCTATCCGGGATCCTTAAGACGTCCCTACTCCCTTGAAGTTGACATTTAAAATTGTTAAGGTAAGGGTTAAGGTCAAGGTTGGGTTAGGGTTGGGTAAGGGTAAGGGTTAAGGTTAGGGTTTAAGGTGGGGACATCCCAAGTATCCCAGATAGCACTAAACTGCAGAGCATCGCCATCTGGTGCATCAGAAAGTGAAGAATCGAAATGATAAAAGTTCAGATGACATGCTGAGTGTTTAAAAAGGATTACACATGACAGAGAAAATAACCAACTGTTTTAAACAACTTTAATTTCTTAACAAGGAAAGCACATGTTACATCAGTTAGCTATCACTTGAATTTATGAGGAAATGCAAAATAAATATTCAAACTGGAGTTTTCTTTGGAGGCCAATAAAACAAGCTTTTCGTCAGTGCGGAAATCATAAAAGTAGCTTAAAATTCTATATAGTATTTGTTTAGTAAGCCTTATGACTATAAGCATTTGGTTGAAAAAAAAGTGTCTATAATTTTTGCATATCAAGTCAAACATCTAAGAATAATCCACTTTACATTTTTACATTTACATTTTAGTCATTTAGCAGACGCTCTTATCCAGTGTGACTTACACTTTGATAACAATTGTTCTACAATCTTAATGCACCATCTTTGTTCAATGGCATGAAAAAATAAAAAATCCTTTGCAGCCAGCAGCAGTAACTTAATAAAACAAAACTCCTTAAATGTGACCAGAAATGCCCCATAGGGTTAGCCATTATGCTACATCGTCATTGTATTACTACCAACTTAATCTTGGTTAACCCAGAACTAAAGTGTTAATATGGCGTCCGAATGCTTCCCAGCCGAAACAGTTCGGTAGATTTCCTGCATATATTATGACAACATTTTGTGACGTTTTTGTTCGTTTTGGACTTCGGTGAGGGTTTTTTCGGCTGTTCTGCACAAAACATTTTGACATTATTTCTGGAGGCAAGCTGAAGTTCGGAGCCGAAGTCTACGCCCCTTCGTCAGTGATTAGTCAACAGTAGGGATTCTTCAATAAAGTCGTTGTTGTCAGTCAACTAGAGATTATTTTTTTCATAGAAAAATACTGCACCAGACATCTTAGTTAGATGTAAAATTGATATCTTTGGCCAGCAGCATATCACCCTGCATCCCACTGCTGGCTTACCTCTGAAGCTAAGGAGGGTTGGTCCTGGATGGGAGACCAGATGCTGCTGGAAGTGGTGATGGAGGGCCAGTAGGAGGCACTCTTTCATCTGTTCTTAAATAAATAATCCCAATGCCCCAGGGCAGTGATTGGGGACCTTGCCCTGTGTAGGGTGTTGTCTTTCAGATGGGATGTTAAACAGGTGTCCTGACACTAATGTTTTTAAAGATCCCATGGCGCTTATTGTAGGGGTGTTAACCCCGGTGTCCTGGCCCTCATGCCACCTAATCATCCCCAGCTTCCAATTGGTGCATTCATCCCCAATCCTCTCCCCTGTAACTATTCCCAGGTTGTTGCTGTAAATGAGAACGTGCTCTCAGTCAACATACCTGGTAAAATTAATGACAGTTATCTTAGATTCATTCAGACTATTTTAAGGAAGTGTATACTGGCTACGGCGTCTTAAAATGGACAAAAAAAAATCTTGTTTTTCAAGCGAAGGTCTTTTAAGGGAGTATGCAAGCACTCATTTGGTTTGGCTAGCCGAGTTCGGCTAGGCGCCAGGCAAACTGAAGCATGCTGACGCCTTTCAGAGAAGAGATGAAGAGATGCTAGAACGAGGAGCTCCCCCCTCTCTGTTTGCAAGTTACGGGCAAGTCTATGGGACGAATGTCCCCTCCCCTTCCAAAATTCGAAAGATGCGCACACCTGCGAAATCGTGATTTATCAAAATAACCAGTGACGAAAAACAGAAGTACCAAACTATTGCTGCTAGTTATCTATCGAAGGTGCCCACAGTTTAAAGACAGATCTATGGTACCTTTATGTTTACGTTGTTTGCCCATTACTGGCAACCTTTCAGCAAGGTTCCATAGAAACAAGGCAGAGGCTGCAAATCCGTATATAACCGCTCCCGTCCTGCCCCCTGGATCCCCTGGAAAGATCTGTATCATGTTCTGAAAGATCTGTATCATGTTCTGAAAGATCTGTATCATGTTCCGAAAGATCTGTATCATGTTCTGAAAGATCTGTATCATGTTCTGAAAGATCTGTATCATGTTCTGAAAGATCTGTATCATGTTCTGCGCATGTGTTTCTTTACCTTTACTTTACGCACACATTTTTGTGGTCACCCTCCCTTCACATTTCTCACTGTCAATGGTGAATGATAATTCTTCAAGTTTTACAGGTGAAACGTCCATGCAGCATCTGCATGCCAACCATTTGATCTCAATCAGTTTCATGGGAATATGCATTTAGATCTTCTTTGTTATATACAGTGGGGAAAAAAAGTATTTAGTCAGCCACCAATTGTGCAAGTTCTCCCACTTAAAAAGATGAGAGAGGCCTGTAATTTTCATCATAGGTACACGTCAACTATGACAGACAAAATGAGAAAAATCCAGAAAATCACATTGTAGGATTTTTTATGAATTTATTTGCAAATTATGGTGGAAAATAAGTATTTGGTCAATAACAAAAGTTTCTCAATACTTTGTTATATACCCTTTGTTGGCAATGACACAGGTCAAACGTTTTCTGTAAGTCTTCACAAGGTTTTCACACACTGTTGCTGATATTTTGGCCCATTCCTCCATGCAGATCTCCTCTAGAGCAGTAATGTTTTAGGGCTGTCGCTGGGCAACACAGACTTTCAACTCCCTCCAATGATTTTCTATGGGGTTGAGATCTGGAGACTGGCTAGGCCACTCCAGGACCTTGAAATGCTTCTTACGAAGCCACTCCTTCGTTGCCCGGGCGGTGTGTTTGGGATCATTGTCATGCTGAAAGACCCAGCCACGTTTCATCTTCAATGCCCTTGCTGATGGAAGGAGATTTTCACTCAAAATCTCACGATACATGGCCCCATTCATTCTTTCCTTTACACGGATCAGTCGTCCTGGTCCCTTTGCAGAAAAACAGCCCCAAAGCATGATGTTTCCACCCCCATGCTTCACAGTAGGTATGGTGTTCTTTGGATGCAACTCAGCATTCTTTGTCCTCCAAACACGACGAGTTGAGTTTTTACCAAAAAGTTATATTTTGGTTTCATCTGACCATATGACATTCTCCCAATCCTCTTCTGGATCATCCAAATGCACTCTAGCAAACTTCAGACGGGCCTGGACATGTACTGGCTTAAGCAGGGGGACACGTCTGGCACTGCAGGATTTGAGTCCCTGGCGGCGTAGTGTGTTACTGATGGTAGGCTTTGTTACTTTGGTCCCAGCTCTCTGCAGGTCATTCACTAGGTCCCCCCGTGTGGTTCTGGGATTTTTGCTCACCGTTCTTGTGATCATTTTGACCCCACGGGGTGAGATCTTGCGTGGAGCACCAGATCGAGGGAGATTATCAGTGGTCTTGTATGTCTTCTATTTCCTAATAATTGCTCCCACAGTTGACTTCTTCAAACCAAGCTGCTTACCTATTGCAGATTCAGTCTTCCCAGCCTGGTGCAGGTCTACAATTTTGTTTCTGGTGTCCTTTGACAGCTCTTTGGTCTTGGCCATAGTGGAGTTTGGAGTGTGACTGTTTGAGGTTGTGGACAGGTGTCTTTTATACTGATAACAAGTTCAAACAGGTGCCATTAATACAGGTAATGAGTGGAGGACATAGGAGCCTCTTAAAGAAGAAGTTACAGGTCTGTGAGAGCCAGAAATCTTGCTTGTTTGTAGGTGACCAAATACTTATTTTCCACCATAATTTGCAAATAAATTCATTAAAAATCCTACAATGTGATTTTCTGGAGAAAAAAAATCTCTATTTGTCTTTCATAGTTGACGTGTACCTATGATGAAAATACAGGCCTCTCTCATCTTTTGAAGTGGGAGAACTTGCACAATTGGTGGCTGACTAAATACTTTTTTCCCCACTGTACAGTGTTGTTTCAAATGATGTACAGTGAGTGAATTGTAGAGCAGATGGTGTTAACAAACTGTGGCATACCTGTGTTTTGTTTCAAAGCACATATTTTGCCTAGTGTCACACTGTTGAGTTGAGGCCGCATGAGAGAAAAATGAAATCGTCCACACAATCATCCTGAAATCTCATAAGAAATAAGGTGTTTTTTGTTTTACGGTAACTTTATACTATGCTAATATATTCTGTTTTGTTATGTACAATACTATCATAATGAAGTAACAAGGTCAAGGTTTACTTAATAATGAGAAAGAGAATAACAAAGAGAGAGTAAACGACACGACGCTTAACAATCACACACAACACAAAACAGAACAGTCCAGGGCTAAATAGAGGTGGTGATGAGATGATGAGGTGCAGGTGCACTGGAGGTGATTAGGGTGCGTTGGGATTCCATTCCGGTCTTGCCGAGGTGGTGCGCTCAGACCGGTGGCTCAGTAGACCGGCAAATCAGAGCGCCGGAGGGGAGCAACGGGAGGAGACGTGACAGTACCCCCTCCCGGACGCGCGGCTCCAGCCGTAGG